ATAACAAATATTTTATGTCTCTTCATATGAAACCAGAGCATTTACCTTCTGTTGGGATGCTAAATACATGGGCCACAGGAGTTTCTAGGGCTACATGGCTGAAGAAACAGGATAGTAATCAGAACATAATGCTTTGTGATGATTCAACTTAAGAGGTGCCCAGAGCATTCCAGATGTTTGGTTTCTTGACACTCATGGAGGATAACACACAAGGTTGTTGGATTTTCCTGTGAAGGGCAACTCCTTGACTAAAGAAATATGTCTGCTTTTCATCAACACATAGATGAACACAGAACTAAAAAATAATCTTAGCCTTAAAGATAGGAACAAGCTCAAAATTCAAACAATGGGATTAACCATTCTTAAAGATTGCCTGAGGTCAGTCAATATTGATTTTAGGGATAGGACCAATGGTGAGATGGAGTGAAAATCATTCATTACTAAAAACAGTGAAGCACTAAAGTTATAAAGGTTTAATTTTTAAAGTTATTAGAAAGGATCAAGGTTATTGCTATGGTGATATTGTCTTGAGTATGAGAGAAAAGGAAAGAAAACAGTGTTCTGAGAGATTTTCACTATCCTTGGCCTATGTTCCACATCACATAACCTAAGTACGTCAGAGCTTGTTAAATATGATAGGCTAAATTGGATAAATACTAATGAGAATGAAAACATTTGGCTTAAAACTACAAAATTTCATCAAAATTAAACCCAGAAAAGCAAAGAAGGATGATAAAAGTGAGCACAAATTAACCAATAACAAATGCTGGAGGGGTTGTGGGGGGAAAAGGAAATCTTCTTCACTGTTGGTGGGAGTGTAGACTGGTACAACCTCTGTGGAAATCAGGATGGAGATTCCTCATAAAACTAGGATTAGAGGTCCCATTCAATTCAGTTACTCTCCTTCTGGGTATTTTTGCAGAAGAATGAAAACAATACCACAGCGATATATGTGCACCTATGTTTATGGCAGTGTAATCTGTCATAGCCAATTCTTGGAAACAAACACCCATCAAACTGAGTAATGAGTGTAACAGTGGAATGTTACTCAGCTATAAAGAAAGATAAACTTGAAGCTTTTATAGGTAAATGAATGCAACTAGAGAACATACACATAAGTGAAGTAAATCAGATCTGCATGTGTAAACATCATATTATCTCCCTAGTGTAAGAACCTGAAACAGTAAACAAAATTTGCAAAGTAAAACAGATACTGTGAAAGAGAAGGAAACTGCTCAATAGGAACAATGACTGGGATGAGCGAAAGGAGAAGAGAAAGAATATATGATAGCTAAGATAATTGTACTACTAATTTATATTGTTTTACTGAAAGGAACAGTTAATACTTAATTTTTTGACCAATTTTGTGTACTTATATCTAATAATCTGAACAACTACTTTGAAGGTAACAACATGAGATACAGAAATCATTGTTGAATTCCTATCATCTTGATTTTTGAAATTCTGTATTATTTCTAATGTTTTTACAATTATTTTTATTCTCTTTAAGATAAAAAATAAAGATTTATCAGAACATATGTTTAGCAATGATAAAAAGGTGAACATGAGTAGTAATATACCCCAAGATTTCTATAAATGTGATGGCCAAATATGTGACCAAAAAGACTAGACAAAGAGGTGCTCAAAAGAGGGCCTCTTGCACTTGCTGGGTACAGGGAGCCTAAGATGATCCATAGTGGCTCTTCTCGTCATGCCCAGCCTAACAGTAGCAACAGATATCATGATAGTCCATCTTGACACAACCAGTCTAGTTCTTGTTACTTCTCTGGCCAAAGCAAACACTCATAGCTTATCTGTCATCCACCCTTCCCCTATTCACAGCTTAATATTAAATTTCATGAACCAACAGCCATAAACATTCTGATTACCAGAATGAATGATCAATGAAGGAGAAGCTCCAGCTGAACTTGTTCCCTGGGATTTGGCTAATAACTGTGCAGGGTCTAATTAAAATTAATTTTTAGAAAGACACAAAAGGTGGCTATTTCTATCTTGCTATTAATGGGTCAAATAAAGTGATGGTTATGTTTGTATTTTTGAGCACTATAATAAACTGAGATCCAAGAGGCAATGCTATTACAAACATGGATGGGAATGCATTGAAAAGAATTCACTTTTGTGGTGCCCTGCAAGGGTCCTAATGATTCTGGAAAACTAAGCATGAAGGAAAATCTTGGCTCAGAGACTTAGACCTTTTTATATTAGTACGCCTCTCCCCAGAGGTAAGCAAAGAACTTTCAAATGATGTCCATTCTTTGAAGTCAGTTAGAAAATTACTGCTGTAGGGTATGAAAAAGTACCTCCAGGAGCTCCACAAAAATAATACGTAACTGTACTACACTCATTATGCCAAGAGGTAATTTACCATTTCAGCACACACTCTTTCCCCCTGTGCAAGCCCAGGGTCATGAGAGTGGGGAGTCACAACTGGGTCTCTCACTGAATGTTTATAATGCTACAACAATAAACCTTGGTGGGTTAGATCACAGTGGGCATGAATTATACCCAGTCAGTCCTTCTGAAAAATTATAAACAGCCATTCACCCATGGCTTTCAAAGACTTGGAGTAAGGCTATTGAAAAGTAAATCAATCCTTTCTCCCATCATCAAACAATAGGTTACAATAAGTGTTCAAAAATGTTATTTCTACTTAGTGTACAAAAATAAATATGCTTACTAATGTAGATGTTCACTTTGTAAAATTTTCTAATGTAGAACACTTTAATGATTAAACAAAAAAGATAGCTGTGATTCATCCAAAGCTTTTCCACTTCATGACACTATGAATTAGCCTTAGCTCTGGCAAATGTCAAAAACAGTTTGTCACTGGCACTCATTGCTCTAGGTCTTGTTAACACCAAGTCTTCTTATTTAACAAATGAAGTCAGATACAAAGCTATTTGTGCCTATATTTGTGTACGAACTTGCCTGTTCAAGGTTTCTCTTGAAGCAGTGAAGAAAAAAGTTTTAGATGTTACAGGTGTCTATTTACTGTAACCTGTTCAAATCTCCAAGAGAGTAAGAATTGTTCTCATTAGATGATTAAATTTTACATTATTTGTGTAACAGAACACAGAATCTACTTCATATATTTCATAACTTATTTCAATCTTTTAAATACTTGGGAACAATTGAATTAGAGGGGGAGTGGGCACAAATAAAAGGGGCTTATGAAGGTGAGAAACTTTAATCCACCCCACCCAAATTATGACATTATATCAGCTAGCCACAACTAGTAAAAAATTTCTACAAGGGTCAAGATTCTTTTTTAAAGATCTGGGACTTAGTTTTCTCTGGGCTTTTGTGCTATAGAAATTCAGATCAGAGAGCAAAGAGCTGGATGCAGAAAGGGGCAGGTGTCCAGTTACTGAGCTTATAGCTGACACCATTTTTCCACTGCACATTTCCTGGCTTGGGCTGTCTTGACTTGGACTTAATGAAGCCTGGCAAAGAGCCCCTAGCATTTGAAAAGCCCTTCCCATAAGCAAGTCTGGATGAGAGGCTGTCATTTTGAATCCTATTTTATATCTCTGTAACTCACTTCTTACAATTATTCAAGGAGAGTATGCTTATCAGGTAAGTGGTTCCCATTGGTATGAACAAGTGGTGAAAAACTGCAGGTGCATGTTCCCCACAATTTAAGTGATATGACAACTGGAGTGAGTTCTTTGAGTGATCATAAAAGGAAAAGTTTGAAAACAGATTTTATACCTCTAAGTAAAGACAGCATGTTATTATGGCTTAGAGACAAAAGCTGAATGGGCTGCTACCTTTTGAAGATGTATGAAGAGTTGTGTTCTAATGTCTGTTTTCAACTCAACCTGAAGATGTAACGCTAGCATTTCTTCTTCATAGACATACTAGGCAAACTACTCCAAGAATACCTGAGCATCAAATGCATAAAAAGAGAGACTGGGACTCCTACCAAAACTCCTCCAAGGAAACTTTCATTCTTAATAATATGTCCACGCATAAAGGCAGAGTCAAGAAGGAGCCGAGGTTACAACCGAAATGTAAAAAGGGGAAATGGTTCTCAACTGACAGCTCAAAGTACAGAGGGTGCTATAGCTTAACTTCTCAGATTTAGAAAGAGTGGAATGTTGTTCGTGCAAAGTAAATGCAATGCTCCTGAAACGCTTCATCATATAGGTTTGCTCTAACTTTGCTTTGCTTCGCCTTTGCCTTTTGGACTTGTTCCTGCTGGCCAGACCATATTCAGTAGCTATACACAGTGTTTTGTATGCATCGCTGAATAAATTCCATGTTTTGTTCTTGCCAAAAGTAGTAACTTGTTTAAGTAAAAGAAGAAAAAGAAAAACAGATTCATAAACACACTAACAGTAAGTGTTATTCCATTGAATTATAATAAGCAAGTTCAGAATCAACTTTGTAAAGTTTAGGACGTGCTGAGACGGCGACTGAGACCAGGCGTGGTAGCATGCACCTGTAATCCCAGTGATTATGAGGCCGAAAATAGAGGGATCACTACGAGTCTGATCTGCATAGTCAGACCTTATAGACCCTGCACCAAATACATAAAAACGAAAAAGAAGAGTATGGACATCATTTGTAATCTGTTTTCAAACTTTTCCTTTTATGATCACTCAAAGAACTCACTTCAGGTATCTTATCACTTAAATTATGGGGAACTTGCACCTGCAGTTTTTTACCAACTTGTTAGGAACCACTTACCTAACAAGCATACTCTCCTTGAATAACTGTAAAGTAAGACTTTGCCACCCCCCACAAAGAAAGAGAATTTGTAATGGAGATAGCATGACAGAGAGAAAAAGACATAACAATATTTTGTAAATTACTGAACAAGAGATAACAGTACTGTTCAAATGTAGTGAAGTGTTTTTCTCCCCCAGGGGATAAGAGTATACTAACAATCACTATTTCAATTTTAGATAAGTTTCTAACAAGCATACAATAATTATACATTTTATGGAAGAATGTAATGGGAATGCTACTCTTACCATCTGTTTTCTTTGCATCATTTCCAACATTAGAGTGATCCTTCTTGTCGGTCTTATTTTTTCCATCTTTCAAATCACCTGGAAGTAATAAATATGACAAACAGCATATGTATATAGCTGAGGGGGATGTTATAAATATCTTTCAACCTGTCAAGGTTAAAAAAATGCAGCATAGTTTATAGTCTCAGGGAGTATGTGTCTGAGTGTAATTCTCTTTTGTGACTGCATGTTAAATTCTGAAAATTGGAAAATAAAAAATTAAGACTGAAAGTTGCTGTCAGATAGGCTTGCACTTAAGGAAATGGTGATTATCTTTCAATAAAGGTGATTAAGTTTCACTCTTAGGCTGCGAAATGAGGAAAAACCTATTAATGAATAGCTATTTAACATCTCTGCACTTCAGTGTTCTTATCTGCAAAATGGAGATAATTGTACCTGCCTTATAGGCATAATGATAAATGTACTTAATGTAAGTAAAATACTAATGTATTTTCTGACATATTGCTTGATGACAATTATTTTTATTCTAAACCAGAGCTAAATGGTATGCCTGTTTTCAAGGAATAGGTATTTATGGATATTTTAGAAATAAAATAAGATTAAGTTAGAGATAAAATTTTATATTCCATGGGCCATACTCTTTGGGGTTATCATCTCTTACCAAAAGCCTCTAAAGTAGACATCACAATTACATGGGTCATGAGTAAATAGCAAAGTTAAACCCAGCACTATATTCCTAAAACAGAATCAGAAAGTTATGGCTCATGGGCTACTTAGTAGGATCAGCCAACACAGAGGCATGTCTACTCCTTGCACATAGTCATGCCTGTGTTCATACTACAATAACAAAGTTGGATAGTTGCTGCACGTACATGCAGACCATAAACATGTTCAATGTGGTCCTTAAACAAAAACAAAAGCAAAGTCCTGGCCCTGGTGTAGGATAGGATAATCTAATAATCCTCAGGCAGGTCGACTCAATAGTAGATCAATGTACCATTTAAAGGATATAAATGCCTTCCTCCTGCCTTATTTTGGAGTTTTTGGATATTTTCCTTACCAATCTTGTGAATGGCGGTTTTCTTTCTTGACTGCATACCACTCAAATGCTCTGTATTTACTAAAGCAGAAAGATCTGAATAATTGGAGTGAGCACAGCCTCCAAGATGTGTGTATGAGAAAGAGTTCGTCTTTCTTGGCCGTGCCAGGCAATGGCCTGAGTACTCTGCCTGCATCACTTCATTACATTCTTATAACCATCTCTTTATAGTCTTATAGAAAATAGAAAAACTTATAGAAGATTCATTTATCAAATTAATCAATTTACTACATAAACAACTAACCAAAGGATTGAGGGGTTTTGCTCCATTTGAGTTTTCTCTCCCTGAAGTCATCCAGGCAACACTGGTTAGTCTATCTAGGTCAACTCTACCAGCATATCTTTGAAGCCCTGTCCTGGCTACATTTCTGAGTTCAACCTTGCAGCTGTATCTCCCCCTGGTGGCAAAAATGTTCCTGTCAACTCCTGACACTTGGGATAATGCAACAGCAATTTGAAAAAGAAAGGTACTTCAGTGAATAGTGGCTGCAATAAAACAAACTTCTTATTGGCAATAAAACTGATGCTACTTCAAAATGTCTACAGATTGAGCAGTTGGGAAAAGGACCAGTGACAATTATACTTATCATTGTTAAGCTTTTGCCAGGGGGACAACCTACTCGGGCTCCCCTCCTGTCCCTCTCTTGGACAGGAGCTTTCTTTCCCCAATAAATATATTCTGCTCATTAAAAAAACCAACTTTGCAGACCAAAAATTTGAGAAAAAGAAAGGCGGCAAGGACAGCCAACATTTTGGCCCTAGCCTTTCAAGGTCAATGAAGACTCAGGATATAGGAAATCCTGTACTGTAACATCATGTAACTCAGTTGTGTCCCAGATTTTCTGATCAAGGAGATTATAGGGACACAGAGGAAAGTGATCGATGATGTAGAGTGTGCCTAAGGAGAGTCACCTGGAGAGAAAACATTCTCTCAGGCTTTCACAGAGAAAAAGGCTCAAGCCAACAACTTCTGACATTGCCAGTCCTACGGATAACCCACTATTATGCACTAGTGGACTACATTGGAATATTTTGCTGAATTCATGCGCCTACAATATTTAAATGGCAATGTAATACCCATCTCTGACAAAACTAAACACAAAAAGGGGATACAAATGAAGGACCACAAAATAGTTAGAATAAATATACAGCAGCATTCTTTTAATTCAATGAACAGAGAGATTTGTTCTAATAGTGTTCGTGGACAGGATATCATGTCTGCATCTTGTACAATCAATAACCAGTAAGACAACAATATGCAATGTATTAATTATTGAAACTGTGCTAGTAATTGGTTGTGAAACTGTCTCATTGCTATTTGTTTCTCAATAAAATTATTTTAAAAAAGCTTTTGCCATACACTATTTGCCCACTTTATATAAATTATATCATGTATCTTCACAACAACTAAATGTGAAAGTTACAATAATAATCATAAATTTCAGATGACAAAATACCTTTTTAGCTCCTTTTAAGGCTAGAAAGTAGTAAAGTGCTTATAACTAAATTTTAGGAACTTACCTGTTTCCAATTTTTGTTGAAAATTAAGTCATTTAAACATTTTTATTGTTATTAATACACACTTCAGTACATAATGATTATATTTATTATGGGAAACTGACACATGTACATAGCATGTCTCCATTCTTTGTTCCTCTTCCCTCCACATCCCCTTGTAAAGCCTTTTTTAAAACCAATATCAGATATTTATTTATTTTATAGGTACTTGTCAAGTTAATTATCATAAATACAGCTTAACATAATTTTGTAAAAAAATGGCCAATTAATCTTATAAATTTTGCTTATTTGTAGGGAACTGCTCCGAAATACACTATCATCCCCATCTATGAATATGAACTCAAGAAAAAGATAAATTAATACCCACAGACCAAACAAATGGGTCTAATTCTAGAGTCCAAACCCTCCACTTAGAGTTTTCCAGCAAAGCTCAAGTTTTAGAGTTCAGGTTTCCATTAACTATTTCCATTTCTAATTACTTTGGTCTATAGACTTATGAAAAAACATTTATCTAGGGATAATTCAAGGCCACTGTTGGTCGTGATATACTTCACAAACCATGTAAAAAAAATTAAGTTAAATTAGGAGACAATTTCTTAATCCTAAAATAGGATCAACTAGTTGGAAGCATAAAGAAGGAGTATCTCCCTCGGCAAGGATAAAAATGAGTTGCATCTAAGTGCAGGACTTGATTATCTCCTTCTACCACTACTAGTCACCAAAAGAGAAGGGTTCCCTTGGAAGCCCCATGTAACAGTCCAAATATTGGCTTTTCCTGTTTAGAGGAGTCACATAAGAACTCTAGGACCTCAAGCCCTGTTGTCAAATTAACTCCCTGCAGCCAAGTGATCCTTCTTCCCTAGGTGAAGGTTCACATAACCTAATGCTCTCTATTTTCTGCCTTCTGGGTAGTTCTGGCCTGGAGCTTTCCCCCTGCTAGAGTAGAATATCTCTGAGAAATCAGCATTCCAAGGGTCTGATGTGCTGGATGCTGGCCAGGAGCCCCTGCAGTCTGTCTTCCCAGCCAGGACTGGGGAGGCTGAGGGAGCAGTTACCTTGATGGAAAACGAAGTTTAAAGGATCCTGTAATTAGCAGGAGGGATGCAAACCTCTAGAACCTCTGAACCAACACCCTTCTGTCCTAACGTGGAAAATGTCTTTGGCAGCCCATGAAGAAGGGTTCTGGGAAAGTGACACACGTTTGTTTGATGATGCTTCCTGAACAGATCCCATTAGGTAATTTCCCATGGGTTATACTTGAGTAATGGCTGATATGAGCTGCTATTCAATAAACAGGGAAAACCAAAGAGCCTTTCTGGGCAGTTATAAATCATTTTAATTAGGCTGCTGTAACAAAGTCCCCAACGACCATTAGCCTCTCTTATTATTGCTCTAAATTGATTTCTTCTCCCACCTCTCATTAAATACTTAATTTTTAGGGGAAAGGGTAGATAGCTATGTTCTTGGGGAAATAAACAGAGTTGTGAAATCAAGTCAGCCCAATTGTAGACTCGGACTCGTTTTGTATTTCTGGCTGTCCCCACAATCATCATCCAAACAAATTAGTCTCATCCACCTTCTGAGTCTGCAGGATTGATAATCCTCCTTGGGACTGGCTTGTTTATGTTCACTGGCCTTTCTCATTGATGCCAAGGCTTGACCCACTACCTGACTGTATGTGATCCACAGCTGAGAACGGCTTTTACACATTTATAGGATGCAGAGGAAAGATGAATATTTTGTGACATGAAAACTAGATAGAATTCAAATTTTAATTTCCCTCAATAAAGTCTTACTGGAGGACAGCCTCACTAGCTTCTCCATGTATCATCTTTAGTTTCTTTTATGCTAATGGCAGCTCCGAGTGGTGGTGACACATCATCTGGCCCACAAAGTCAAACTGTTTACAGTCTAGCCCAGTACAGAAAAGTATGCTAGCCCATGGAACAGGCAGATTATGAACATCTTTTGGACAGCAGTTAAGCCTCTTCTCTCTCCAGTGCCCATCCCCAAAGGCAACAAACCTGGAAAGTATTAAGAATATTCTGGAACTGACTGGAAGGTGGGGGGGTCATAAAGCCAAGTTTGACTTAGGACCTCTGCTTAATGGTTGGTTGACCTTAAGCAAATGATTCCCTCTCTCTGAGTCTCTGTGTTCCTCTCTATATGATGGGAATACGTGTTTCCACCTGGTAGAGTTGTTAGGATTTTAAGTGATTTTAATATGAGGTAAACAATCACTAAGCGTGTGATACTTGGTAGTAACATTACAATTACTGTTTTTATTAAAGGAAGGAGTTTTTAGACCATTATGACAAGCAATAAAAAGAGTGAGAGAAGAAAAATAAACATCCTGCCTTTTTTTTCCATGCCTCGTCTTTGAAAAAGCTGATTTATCCAGGGGCAGAAGCTGAGTGTGCAAAGCTCAAGTCAGCCACCTATTTCCCATCTGCCTTTACAA